GACCTTATCACTGTTTACATTAGTACAGTCCGTCCTATTTTAGAATATGCAGTTCCTGTGTGGAATTGTGGACTTACACAACTTTGGGATTCCCGCATCGAGCGAGTCCAAAAGAGGGCATGTAGAATCATCCTGGGTATTAATTTTTTGTCGTATGACGACGCACTATCCCAATTCCAATTGGACAAATTGTCTGATAGACGACATAACCTATGCGTTTCCTTTGCAAAAACCCTTGTTCATCCGTATTCTAAACTTCATGACTTGCTCCCTCCCCCAAGGGTCAACTCCTATAATACTAGGTGCAATACTAAATTTACTATACCTCGTCGTAGAACGAAAAGATATAAAAACAGCCCTTTACCATACCTTGTTAACTTAATTAACTCCAATGATTAATAATTAATAACTATCTTCTCCCCCTGGGGGTTTGGTGCATGCTATTGCCCTTTTGCGGTTCAGTGCTTCCCCCTCCCCTTTGCCTTCCTTTTTGGTCCCTGTGCAATTTATTCTATGTATTTTTCTATATTGTAATTTTTCTCTGATGTTTGTGATTTTCTCATTTGTTATGTTTCTTGATATTTTTAATGACAATCCTTAATTACAGTTATAATAATAAGGATAATAAATAACAATGACAATAATATTGATTATAATATTCTTAATTGTAACGATAATGATTATGTTTTGACCTTGGTGCAATCTTTTTTCTCTTTTTGATGTTTTTGTTATGATGTCCTTTTTGATTTGTATTACTTTTCTTAACTATAATAATAATGGCAATAATAATAATTATAATAATAATGACAATTTTCGATCTTTGTGCAATCCTTTTTTTCTATTTTTTTGATCTACTTGTTATGATGTTTTTGATCTTTTTTATATTTGTATTCATAACTAAATAAATTAATAGTAATAATAATAACAATAATAATAATAATGACGAATTGGATAGAATATCGATCCTTATGCAATATTTTTCTCTTTTTTGATGTACTTGTTTTTTTTTTTTATCTTTGCTGTTTGATTTTTTTAATGGTTTTAATTGTTAACATAATTCGCAATTCAGCCTTATGGCTACTATGTTTTATGTCTTAATTTGAATTTTGAATTTTGAATAAATATACCATTTTGAATGAATGAAAAAGACCCAAACGAAACGTTCGACCAGCTTAGGCAGGGCCTCAAACTAGTCCCACGACTACTAATGATTACAGAGCCAAACCAAGGCAATATATACACAGCCAAGGTGTGAATGCAAATAGTGGAATACAAGCTATGCGGCTCGGTTATATATATAACTATTAAAAACAATTAAAACCAAAGAAATACGTCGGGTCTTCAGTCTTCGTTAATTAAAATGTGGCGAATTAACGATAATTGAAAAAAATTCTAATTCATTAAAATAATTTACGAGAGGACGGAATTTACGGAATTTACGCGAGCACACACGCTCGCAAATATTCGATTATATATGAATTCTAATACGCTGTCCATACTAAGTGACGTTAATTATAAAATATAATTGTAAACCCAATTAAGTGTGTGAAATTAATATGCAATGTACGTAACTGATATATTTTGCATGTGTTCATCGGGAAGATTATGACACAAAATGGACGGTGTGTACCACGTGACTTTCGCAAACCAAGGAGCGGAATGTCGCAACTCTTCATATTATATGGCTCTGACGTGACCTGAACCGCTCATGTCGCAACTCTCTCTATATAGGAACTAGTATTTAGTATGGAGGTAAACCGTGTGCAAACAAAAGTATCACATAATCAACTAGAATGTAGTCGTTGTCATAACATACTGATGATTCAATAAACTTAAATATTTCGAAATTGAGCCCAAGAATATAATAATTAAGCCTACAATCTTTGACTAAAATTGGTTTTATCAGTAGACTTTTCTCTATATATTTCTGTTACAAACAATTTATATTTTTCACGAACCTCTTAATTGATTTTTAGTTCATAACGAGTCATTTGGAAATATATTTAATCAATTGAATTTTTATTATAATGATCTTCCTATATAATTTTAGTAATTATTGTTAATTGTTTTAATCATGAATGTTTATTGTACTATTTTCAAATATTTTATGAATGTTTTTTTTTTTTTTGGTTTTTTTTTGCCTTTCTTTTTTTGTGATTTTTAAATTGTATTGTATTTACTGTTGGCGTTTACGCTGTTGGATGGAATGAAACAAACTGTAAATGAAATTAATTAATTAATTAAAATAAATATTGCCTGCATCACACTACATCATATTAGGTCTATTATATTATTATATCACGTCGTGTTATAGGCTCTATTATAATATATAATATATATATGTAATATGATAATTATATTTCTATATACAGTCTACTATATTACATTATAGGCCTATTATATTATATTATATTATATTATGATGAATTATATTATTTCATTTCTTCTAATGTGATCTATTCCAGGCTAAGTAATGAGTACACACATCGGTAATCCACAGTTTAATAATCTATGTCTCCCCATTTTTTATATTTGTAACAATGAAATACAACATTTAATGACGAAGTAAAATGAAATGGTTTTATGTAATATAGCCATATTGTATTAAATTTCCTAAATCAGTGTTCTGTATAACAGTAACTAAGTGAAAAATAAACTAAAATTAGCACTGCATTCAATACATTGTATGCAGTAGTACTAAACTTACTTCCCCTGCCGAAGTATCAAACTTTGAGTTAACCAATCACAACATGTTATTTAAAAGCTAAGAATACGTGCATGTCCCACAAAGTTTTCCTACGGTAACGCTGTTTGATGTTACACACCTTAGCAACAGCATACAAGTGAAATCATAAATAAGTATTCAGTAATTAGTTAGGTAAATTGAACATAGATAAAATGGAATTCCGATCAGTTTTATATCAAACTTAACCGCACATTTTAGTAGGATATTTACTTTGTTGCAATATCAATTGGTTATATTAATTTTTGTTTCCTCCATGGGCCTACATATAAATATCACTATCGACTAGTAAGATATGATAGTGTTATCATCTATACTTGAACTTTCTAGATATACAATACAAGTGGTTTTAGTTACAAAACCAACATTAGCTTTTACTCGATTAGTACACACTAATATAGCTTCCTTGCCCACCTTAAGTAAAGAATTGGCTTGATTTTCTATAGTGTTTATGTAGACATACGCCTACCTGACATCAATTCACCACATGTTCATAAATAGGACGACATTTATGTTGTAATTTAACCGAATTAAAACGCACTAGCACCACCTTATGTAACTATTTCGATAGACTTACCATTGAAATTCTATTTCTTATTTTGACGTCATCAAGTATAAAAAAGTAATTGTTGTGCTCTATCAATGATGACCCAATAATCTACCAGCAAAATACCGTAAAACCTCGAAATAAAGCCCTGGGTTTTTTTGTTTTTTTTTGGTTTTTTTTTTTTTGCAAAATTTGATGGGCTTTTTGTCGAGATGGGCTCCTTTTGGAGGCTACTTTTGCAAAGTAACGAGGGTGGGTGGTGGGGGGGGGGTGGCTTCCTTTTAAAATCAATGCTGTAAATTTTGGGAATTACTACTATAAAACAATGAAGGGCCAATGTAACACCAATCTGTATCATGGAGTGTATTTACCGGTATCAAATCACCTAAACTACTATATAAACCAAGCGTGTTTTTAATTAATTTTTTTGCTTTGAAATTAATGTCCAATGTATGTACTGTACTAGCTCGGAAAATAGCCCATGCTATTTTGAAAGAAGCCGATGGGGTTATTTTCGAAATGGGCTTCTTTTTTAGGCTACTTTGCAAACTAAGGAGGGGACTTTAATTCGAGATGGGTTTCTTCTAAATATTATTTAGCCCATTGGGTTTGTATTCGAGGTTGTTTTACGATAGATCAGTACGTATATCCTAAAGATAAAATAAGTTCGGAATTATTCTTTAAAAAAAAATACACAGCAAGCATGACTAAGGAAGATGTAGATGAGTTTGGACCTAATAACCTCAAAAATACTTGGTAGAGGAAACAAAATGAATGAAAAACTTGAGCGGCTGGCGATGAGATAAAAGGATGATAGGTAAGGTACGCCAGCCGTGCAAAAACCGATTGTTCGGCCCACCAGTCGTTGAATTTCGTGAATACTTATCTGGATAAACCAACTAATTACCCTGTTCCGAAACGGAATACTCCTTCAAATAAAGTAGAACATATATAATTTTTTTGTAAATTTAACTGTTTAAAATGTCATCTTATTGGTTTTGTGTCGTATAATTTATTCATTGTCCTCTTCAAGTCAGCGAGCTGTTATAAAATTATAATTTCATAATATAAAACAGCTGTTTTTTCTTACGCCATTGTTTTTAATTACTTTAGCTGTTCTTGACATTAATACCGTATACCTTTAATTGCAATGCGTGTGTTTTAATACTAATGCGTGTATAAGTAAATGTTCAAATAAATGAATGATTTGAAAGTCTTATTATATTAAATATATTTTTTAAACAGAAAAAGATGCTTGTCGCTCTGACCCTTGCATGAACGGAGGCAGTTGCAATAATTACTTCGACTACTTTACGTGTACCTGCCCTACTCACTTTCTTGGAGATATCTGCCAGGAAGGTAAGAACGTGCTAATAATAATAATTGATAATTAACTAACATTTAAAATTAATAAACATACGTTAATTGAATATTTATTAGACAACATGAAATAGATGCAGGGGCCTATATACTAACCCACTTAAACAGATCTACCACATTAAACATATGTTTGACCCATCATGGAGTTAACACTATGGACCCATCAACTTTTAATAATGTGATTTATTGTTAATTATACACACCGAAGACCCCCCAAAATAATTTTAGATTCCAGAGTGTAATGAGTTATTGGTAGGACAATAAAATCTACTAACATCCCCATTGATGCCGGTCACAAAATGTTGATCTCCTTCTGTATCGGCCTGTTTATAGCTTTGAACGTCTTCATTCCAAATTTTTTAAAGGTGGGGGGGGGGGGAGAGAAAATCTGGCTGAATTGGGAACGTTGGCCCGGAGTCGTATTCTTTGCCCAAATTGACCAAATGAACTGGAGGCCCCTGTGACACACATTTAGTAATTTCAATACAAGTTCCTGCCATTCCTTTAGGACTTACCTTTATTCGTATCAATTACACTACACAATATTTCTGTAGCTTTTTCATAATTTGAAACTACGTACGGTACATTACACGAGAGATTCTGATACAAAAGTGTATTATTACGTTTAAAACTAGGTTAAGGTAATTGTATATTGTACTTGTTGATATTGATACATGATTTCAGGTTATTCATACACTTCTGTAATCTCTCCATACATTGTACCTATCTATATTTCGTACCTTTTAATAATCAATGGGATAATAGGTTGATATTAACACGTACAAAATATTTCCTCGAATATTTCCGCGTGTAAAGGAAAGTGTAAAGAGTCTTGGGACTGCTTGTTTAATGAAGCGTAGCTGGCCTATCTAATAAAATGCTTTCTACTAAATACTCGGTATCATTGATGGTATGATCTGGCAGTTAAAGATGACGGAAAAGTTAAATCCAGTGGAGTTGCATGATGGGTCAAGTTTCATCTTAACTGCCTTATAATGTACAAAAGACATTTTAAAAAAAATACAACACCACGCATTTCCTGATAACCGAATCCCATGATGTGGATACTTGTATATAAACATTATACAGTAAGGCAGTATAGCGCATAGACACACGCTCCCACTGGGAGTTTCTTTTTTTCTCTGCCAATACCAAAGTATAATCATCAACCTCATCGTCTTATTTTTGTCTATAAAACAAGCTTACAGTATAATTAATAGCATTTAAAAGCACCCAATTAAGGTTATTCTGTTTGAGAATTTATGGTCTCTTTTTATGTTTTAACTACTCTCTTTTCTCTAAGTGATTAGAGCATGGAGGTAGGCTCAGAATTTACGATGATTTAAAGTGGAGTCCCACTAAGGAGGAATGAATATGATAATAATAAACATAACAATGGTATTAATTTTCATTGTGCTTCATGTGTATAATCTTTATTGTCAAACTCATATAAAAAAAAATACAAATCCGAAAATTGACATACTTGCGACGAAAACATAGGAAGCGCTAATACAATAAAACGATACAATTAAATTAATAAAATATATTAAATCTATAAGATACAAATATATAAATTTCGCTCTAAAATGTAAACATTAATATGAAATAGAGTACAGATAAATTTAATATAGCATAAATAAAATTACCAACTTAAAACAGTTTTACTCAAATTACATAAGTGTCTTTACAACAACACTTAAAAAATGCATTTGTAATGAGAAATGTATTTAAAAAGCATAACGTTTTGTTTTATATTATGATCGTGATTTTCTCATTTATTTTGTAAAAGCTGCGAGTATTTGCTATGCAACTGGTGACCCCCACTACGTGACATTCGATCGCCACTGGTACCAATTTCAAGGGGTCTGTAAGTACGTATTGGTGAAAGACGGATGTACTGCATCAACATCACCAACCTTTCAAGTTGACGTCATTAATTCTGATAAGACGAATGTCACTGGTTCATACACTGAAGAAGTCATCATAACATTATATCTATCGGTAAGTACACTTTAACAACTGACTAACCGGAACAGGGACGAAATATGCGATTGTCCCACAAAACCCGTGTTTTTCCACAACGTACTACGTACGTGTTTCAGCCTTTCAACAGTGCAAGCTGTGGTTACTAATCATGGCCGGCGGAGAATGGGCAGCGTGTAGTGTGGTTCGATCCCTCGACAACGAGTTTCAAAACCTGAATGGAAATCGTTGCGCCAAACCGCCTTTTCCCTTTTACGCTGTAATTGTTGAAACCTTAGGAAAGATAAGGAGCGGGGAACGAATGTCACTGGTTCATACACTGAACATGTAACCATTAACCTCATTATATTGTTTCGATCAATTTAGCACATAAAGAAATATTTAAATATGGCGTTAGATGGTGGTTTGAAAAAAAAAAGTATTGTCCCCATCGACATTAAAACCCAGGCCCTTTGATTAACATTACCATTTGATTACTATTATGCATATTATGTTTATTATTACGGTACCTTGTCTCCTGTAGCTATTCAGTTTTGAGCTAAAAATGCGTTCTTTACCTTTCCGTTTGATACGATTATATGTATATACTGTCTATACTGATAGGAATCATAATTGTATGTGCTTAACTTATTGGATGCACAGTATAGCTTAGTTTCCATACAATCGCTACACGCTATCCCCGACGGTTTTCGGTGATGCTGATTGGTTGGTCGAATCGGGGAGCCTTCCCGATTGCGTCGGGAACTGTTACGCAGTACAACGATTGCACTGAAAACACTGTAGCGACAGTGTAGCGATTTTAATGAAACCAAGATTTAAGTTGTGTTTTTAGGGAACGGGAATCACTTATTTCTGATTAGTCCTGAGTGCATTCAATGTTGATCTTTCTGTTGTTAGACATTGCTGAACCACCCTATCCACTGGGAATATAATATTGTACTCTAAGAATAAGCGTTTGTAATTTGTAATGCTAATGTACACACACGATGAGCTCATAAGCCTAAAGTAAACAGCTGGGCAAAGTGTTTTTTTGCGGCCCACGAAAATGAATTCAAAACCTATGAGTGCAGCCTGCCAACCATAATTTTTTGGCTAGAACAGGCTTTGTTTTTTTAAGGCCCGACACCGATCGTCTGTAAAAATTAATATTAAATCTGAGCATAAAGCGTTATAAAAGCAGTGCATGAAGGTTTTTGGAAGCGTACTGAAAACATAACAGTTTGGATGTGGCCCTCGGTGTTAAATAAAGAAGTCTTTTACTCATTTTTCACACGGGAAGCGCCACCGGTTATACTGACCAGGTTTGGTTGAAATCTGCACAACCGTTTGGCACTAGTAGCGTTTTGAAATGTCGACAGAAAAAAAAATCAAGATTACCCCTTAATGACTTTTGACGCAAAATCCCTGAACACCCTATAGAATCTGCCTTATACCAATGACTTATACAAAGGACAAGACTGTGCTATGTTATTTGTGAGAGAATTAGTCTTTTTTTCCCTTTTTTTTACCCTAATGACCCATATATACATTTGATCCCAATTTAATAAATCGGTCCAGCAGTTTGCCACTAGTAGCATTTTAAAATGTTGCCAGAAAGAAAGAAAGAAGACAGAAACAGAACCCATTCATTTGTACTGACTGGCACAGAGACCAGCCAATTCAGGGTTATGAGTGAAATACAGGACATTTTTAAAATTAGTGCAAAACACGATTAAAATGTTTTAAAAACAAAATATACAAACATTTCTTAAATATGATTTACTTAAACACAATAGACAGTCGTAAGGAGAGGATTTGGTAGGCAAATTTAGCTACCCTATAACAGTGGTTGCCATCGCTCATTAAAAAATTGAATTTGTCATTAAAGGTTAAATCTGCAAAGGATGGGTTGAAAAATATAATCGTACAGGTGGGATCTGTATCTTATTTATTTTCTATATTGTTCAAGTTGCACAGACTGCATTTTCTATCATCAACCGGTATATTGTTATGCAACCTGACCGAAAGAGGGCTAACGCTCGCCAATTACATTTCTTCTTGAAAAGTGGTTACATAACAGCTGTGCCATAAATGTATTTAAATGAATGATAAGTGCGCAGCTTATTGCGCGAATTTGGTTTCTTTCTGCGATCACTTAAAATGGCTTCTTTCCAACGGTTTTCTACGAAACAATTTAGCTGCGCTATGAGGATGACTTACCAAATTACGAATATTTGCTTGTTTTGCGTCTCATTTAGAATTTGTTTACAGTCCATTTTGGAGAACAGCAATTTAAATTTATGACACCAGTTTTTTACATTGTTATATTCTAAATGTTGGGACCAACGAAAGGCTTTACTTGAATACCGGTCTTCATTTAGTTTTGAAAGACGGCTCCACAATCTAGCTATAGACTGCATCTGACGCACTATTGGGGATACCATCCCATGTCACCAAACATAGCGTCATTTGTAGTATATTTCCCAAAATAAGAGTTGTAGGGCCTACATACCGCTATCTATGCCCCACATATAAGCCTATTTTATGATCTGCTATACGACAAGTTTAACTAATAGGAAGTTATAAGTTATAGCTGCGTGTCAGGTTCCCGAATAACTGCATGTATATAATATATACCGGTACATATATAAAACTACTCATTTTCTGATATTTATGTACTGTAAAACATTATTCAGCATTGGGAGAAATTTCCAGTGATACCAAACATGACAACTAGTAGTGAGTTTGTTTTACCTTTAAAATTTTTGTGGTCATGTGACTTTATTTATTGGCATATATCTCCATAAATATGCATTATTTGGTAAAGGTATAATGGAATTAATTCATCAGTGTATACATTACCTTTGCGTTTGTGTTGTTGGATGTTTGATGTTTTACGTCAGTCATCTTGAAATCCAATATGGCCTCAAAGATGGAATCGAAAAAAAAATCCCCCCCCCCCTCAAAAATGGATTCTACATAGGTATACTGCGGTATCCAAAAATACCAAAATCTAGCTTTGAACATAAAAATCTCACGGACTCCATATTTTTTATATATGGAACTCCACTAATAGGTCTATGGGAATGTATTTCCGCCCGGTTGCCTGAACCTGTACAGACTAATTCACTTTCCTATGGCAGGCATTAACTTCATGGGTGGAAAATAATGAAGTAGATCTTTTGATTTGATGTTCAAAGCATTACTCCGCGCTATGATCTCTTGCAATGATTATTGGTTGTTTATTTTTCAGACGTTGGATTTAATGATTGCACTAAAAGCTGATCGGGTTGTATTCGTAGAGGGGCGGCGAGTGACTCTCCCAGCAGAACCAATTAACGGACTTAAAATTGAAACTGTTGGATTATTCGTGGTACGTGCGTCGACAAACAATTTTCATGAACGTGTAAAATTGAAGTGTTTTTCAGTGTATGGAAATAATAATTTTACATCATTTAGGCCTACTCGATGAAAGATAACACTCAGAGTTTTTTTTTCATTTTTAGGACAATAACTACAGTATTCTACTATATAATATTACTATTTCTAGTTTATCATTTATCGTTATTATTAATTAATGGCATGTTTCAATTATATATTATTTTTTACTTCAATTGTGTATTCAAAATCTTTTATGTATGCAAATATAGGCCTATACTTATTAGGAATAGGCATACAGTTGTTTTTCTGAGTATTCAATTTAACCTTACCTTGTTGTTGTTTAACAGCAAGTTACAGCAGATGTATTGGACCAAGGTGTTAATACCCGTTTTCACGTACGATGGGATGGCGAACAAACGATAGAGGTCCGTTTACCATATTCTCTCTACAGCAATTCAACATGCGGTCTTTGTGGAAACTTCGACGATGTTCCAGAAAACGATCTTCGATTACAAAATGGTTCTGTTGTAAGTTTGTATAGCAAGCGTTTGTAAATGAATAGTTAGAATCGCCGACGAGGGGTCGATCCAACGTCCGAGTTGCTTTTTCTAAATGATTTGCTTCTATTAATGGGATGGTTAAGGGGATGGGGGTCCGACAGGCGCCACCACTTTACATTTCCTATTAATTTGTCTCTTCGATACTAAATCGTGATATGCTTTTTAGTCTTGTCTTGGATGCTGTTCAGCGCCAATAATAGTTTGAGCCAAGATCATAATATATGAGCCTGCTAGACATCAGATACTTGTTAGATTTCTGAAATACCAAATAATTCTAGCTAAGAGCGCTTCATTTTCATTTCATTTATTTATTCGACTTCAAACGGTCCAGGGATTGTGTCAGCAGCGATAATAATAACACAAATGTCAGCCCCTGTAACGTACAACAGATTACATAGCTGATGCCATCGCCATCACGTGATCTTAGTTAAGAGCCTGATCTGAGCACACGTGGTAGCGGTGCCATCAGCCACGTACATGCTGCACCATGCTGCTGCAGCAGATGTTCAACCACTGGTTGCAAGCTACTGACCGTATCACAACGGAATGGAAACGCTGCCAATGCATGACAGATATCATGGAACCCAGAAAACCTCATTGGCTCACGAAACATTGTACCCAGTAAGAAACATGACACATTTCCTTCGTTCTATCACTGGAAACCTGTTGAGTTAATGGCCTATATCACAGGCCCGTATCCAGGGGTGGGGGGGGTGCGTTGGGTGCACGCACCCCCTCCCCCCAAATCGAAAAACTTCCACTAATTATTAAAAAAAATGTGACCTTGTTCCCAGAATCATTATAAAATGAATCACATAACAGTACAGTATTAAGATTGTATGAATGTACAAATGAGTTACAATAAGAATATTAGAGCGCTGACTCCACACGCGCAATCTTTTGTACAGCCAGCAACATAACACAACAAACATACACACGTTATATGCACGTTATCGTCTAGGTGTATCTTCCCCTAACTACCAGCCGGTATGTCAGTGTATAGCAATGAAGTCAAAATTCTATAATGACACCCGGTTTAGACAAGTATTATCGTTCCTGTCGTAATGGTTTTTCTACTACTACTAAAAAATAAAAAACTCACTTGTGGCATTTTAACTTAGCATTAACTTATTCTTATTTTGTTCTTAATTTTCCGCAATTTCGACAGCCTCATTCTTCTTATAAAATGTGCTCTTATAAAAAAATGTAAGTGATGTTGCTATTAAAACGTACAACGTTACTCGTATCATGATGATCCTTTAATACAGTATACCCCGTCATGGGTTCAATGGATAGATAGCGTATACATACAGTATAATTATGCTTATACCTCTGTATATGTTTTCTGTCGATGCCAAGAATAAAAATGTTGATTAATTTGTTTCAAATGCTTCTAGTTGTTTGAATCAGCTCATTTACAGTCGCTTTATATCAAACTTTGCTATTATTCATTTAAAAGCAGAATTGATTTTGAATTTTTATTCGTAATGGTTACGAATTTATACAGTAGTATTTTTCATTTGGGAAACAATTTGCTTGTTTCTCCATGTCCTCCACTGGTAATTTTTGATAGGCCCTTTCGCTGTGTTCACGGACATATAGAGATTAACATGATAAAATGCCTTCAAATTAGTCTAGTAAGACGTAAGAAAGCAAATTTTTCGGGGGCCTTCGGCCCCTGGACCCCGACCGGGGGCCCTGGGCGGCCGTCTGGCCCCCAGCCTGGTTGCTCGCTGCGCTCGCAAAACGCACCCCCCATTCAAAAAGCTGGATACAGGCCTGATATCGTCCATGTTCTGGAGATAAATTGTCATTTTCTACATACTGATGTAGCCCTAGCCTATCATTGTGTCATAGGCTACATAATATGCGAAATCTTGGGAAACATCCTTTCGATCAGAGTTGAGAGATACTACATATCATCGGTATGTTTCAGTAGGTCTGGATAATTTCGTTATATTTTGTTTGTAGGTAGGAAATGAAAATGCGCACATATTTGGAGATATGTGGGCTACTAATGAAGGATGCGAACCGGCACAACCAATCGTCGATACATGTGACGAAAGTTCAATTGGTTACCAAAAAGTCAACCAAACCTGTTGGATGATCAAGGATCCGAACGGTATGACAATGATGTGGACCTAATATTATGCCTGTAGGGCCTAATGTTATCACTTTTATGTCTTTAATAAGAGCTGAGCATGTGATTGAGTGGTAAAGTTCAAGCTAATACGCTGAATATTCCTGTAAAAACTCTTTTTTTAATTGTGGTCACTTAGCTCCTTCTATAACCCTCACATGAGAGATTTGCGGGGTAAGGGAAAATGTATCCGTTACGTGTCGGTACTTGCGCTGCACTATTGATGCCACGGGGCCCAGCACTCCAGGTCCCAGTAAAAATTCAATTTTTTTTTTCAACAAATAAAACAATATAATTTAATTGTTTTATTTTATTTTCATCTACTGTAAAATGAACACAGCACGAAACTACTGAGATACAATGTTCTCTTCAAATTTGAAAGCCAAATAAACAGTTGAAATAAACATAATATAATAAAGGAACATTTAAATATAGCACCAAGCCATACATATACACGTACACGAACTAATTTTTGTTGGATAAGTTTTCAAATTTACTTTGTATGATCTTTGCAGAGGATGATCCAACTTACATAGCTAATTAGTATTAGAGTCCGGCAAACACCATACAGTGAATGTAATGTGTATTTTGTATAAAAGTGGGACGACCCCACGAAAGAGAAAAAAAAATGAATGAATAATTAACAAAAAATAGACATAATCGCAATACAAGTTAAAATAAACTGACATGAGCATTGTTAAATTTTTATTATCGTGGTTTGATTTTTTTTTAATTAAAAAAAATCGTTGTCTTAGTTTCAAATCTCAATCACACAATATTGCTGAGTTTCTTACTCTTAGCTAGACTGACTGAAATTTTCTCTGCTAACTATACAATAAAATCTTGAATATTATTGAAATGTTCATGTACAAAAATAAATGTTCATGTACAAAATATTACTACTTAACTTGAGCATTGTTATTACTTAGGGCAATTTCAACGATGTCACGACACACTCCCGCCAGAAAATTTCTACTTGGCGTGTATACTTGATAGTTGTTCTCCACACGTTGACTCAGATGAATCCAGCTGTCACGTGATTGAATTCTACGCACAAAGTTGTTATGATCGCGGAGCTTCGGTAGGAAACTGGAGAAACGAATCCATCTGCAGTAAGTCGGCCTACCACTGTCTTCGTAATTTTAAAAAAGAGTTTGTTTTTTTTTTGGTGAAAATAACCAATATTTATAGAATTAAAAGTTATAGCAATTATTGCCATTTCCAATTTACATTCAAGCCCTGAAGCGGTATACATCCGTCGCCCAAGGTGACTTCTGAAGACTTAGACCCATGCCGTTGAAAATTATTGTAACACCCAGTCTTGGAAAAATGCAATAGTACAAGTTTATGTTAAATAACCATCGTTATTTCTACTGGCTTTATTTAAAGGTGTCCATTGCTCAGGCGGCACTAACTACAACTGGTGTAGCAATACCTGCCAACAGACCTGTGTAGATATTTTAGTCGGACAGTCTTCAATCTGTGACGAATCTTGCTACGAGACATGTGAATGTCCAGAAGGGATGGTCCTTGATGGCTTACAGTGTGTCCAGGATCATCAGTGTGGATGTTTCGTTGACAACTTCTACTATTCAGTGAGTGATGTATAGACCTATTTTTAATGATTAACCGATATCAATCTATTTTTTTATAGCATATTGTCGACTTAAGTGAGGCAAGATTATTTCCTTTCAATTGATCTTGAACAGGCTATTCGTCTTGACAGTCCGTTTCCCCTTGATTGTTATGTTTGACTTAAAGTTGAAGTGTTGCGAAGTATTAGTCAAAGTCAAATCATTCATAGACAAGCAAATTTATAATGTTATACACCATATAAGCTGCAATTATGTTAATAAATACAATAATGCATCAATACAATGTTCTCTATGGTTCTTCTATAACGATCATGGTTAGTTGTTTCTTATAAGTTGATAAGTGTAAAGGTTTCCATAGGTCTGCCCTTCTGTAACATGCAATATAGCAATCCTACTGTAATGAACAATAGGAATTCACGTTTCTTACTGATTTCTTTTTCTTCAGGTGAACGAAACCATATACAATCCTTCGTGTTTCTCGAAAGATGTATGTCTGGGCGACAATCAGTTAAGCAAGTCTGATCTTACTTGTGACGACGCCGCGTATTGTGGCGCTAACAGTGACGGCGAATACGGATGCCACTGTAGAGCTGGTTATAGGGGTGACGGTGTAACCTGTGAAGGTAAGAAAACAGTTATAGGCCAACTTGTTGAATATAGAAATAAAACATAAAACAAACAACGACGAGACTGATTCATCGTGATTTAACAATCTTGAAAATAACAAACTGGGAGAAAACCTGATATTTAGGAAAAATGGTGAGGTTCTACCCACTGAGCAAAGGTACTGCGTTGGGAATCAATTGAAATTCTAGTAAGTAATCAGTAACTTTGAGCCACGAATACTGGAATCACTTTCTTTCCGAGAAAAAAGCACAATTCGTCGGGCAGAAAAACAAATTATATGTATTTTCTACATATTATTGGACTCTAAAATCGATTAAATAAGCATTTGAAACCCCTAAATTGTCAAAACTTTCGGGAGCTTCGCCCCCAGGCCCCAGGACAACTTTCGTAACCGTTTAATCGAAGCTCGACCACGCCCACTTTGGTTTCGTCGGGGAAATCTGACCCCTCGTCGGGGACCTCGCCCCCCCCCCCCACCACCCCCCTAGATGTGTATAAGAGACAGCCCCATTACTGGACACTATATTTTCACATATGAGGATATGAATGTGATATGTTTAATGATATATTTTTTTTGTAGACATCAATGAATGCCTAAGTGACCCGTGTGTGTACGGAACTTGTCAAAATCTTCTGAACTCCTACGCATGTAACTGTGACGAGGGCTGGGGAGGCTACAATTGTAATAACTACGTAGGTTGTGAGAGTAATCCATGTCAAAATGGGGCTATGTGTGAAGTGGTCAACGGTACTACCTACAGCTGTTTATGTGTCCCTGGCTATACCGGTAATGAATGTGAAATAGGTAAGAAATGCACAATTAAAAACCCCATCATTAATGAGATTACGCTTAAATCGATGAAGCCCTAATTTTATATTATAATAAATACGAAATGTTGAATATAAAAATGATGCATTCAAGAAAAGCTAAATGAGTTAAGGCATTCAAGGTTCTAGAACGAAATTGTGGTATAACTATTTACTTTTACACAATCTAATGTTAAGTTAATTAATTCCTCACAGATATTGACGAATGCGCAAATTCCCCGTGTCAAAATGGGGCCACGTGTGTTGACATGGTGAATGATTTCGAATGCACGTGCGTACAAGGGACATCAGGAACCACATGTGACATAGGTGATGGTCCACTTTTATTTTTTAACTAAATTTTGAGGTTAAGTGATAACCAGTCCTCTAGTTTCAACTCCATATATTGGGTTTGCACTCACTTAAATAAGTTCTTGCATATATAGGCCCAGTGAGAATTTGTAAGTAATAGGCCTAGGCCTATATTTACCTTGCCTTGAATACTGTCGTCATAAATGCTTGTTTATTTTGATAGGTCTGTTTATTCTAATACCATATGCACATGGCCTTTAAATTTAAGTGCAGAAAGTAAAATAAAACGTATAAACTTACGTACGTTTTTTTTACAATTATAGTGGACGATATTTGCTTCAGCAACCCATGTCAGAATGATGGACAATGCGTTTCTGGAGAAAATGGCTATAATTGTACATGTGCGTATGGTTTTATGGGTACGAATTGTGACGAAGGTGAGTGCACGATTATTCAAACTAATATTTCATGATAGAGAAGTTTTTATGTTGCATAAGATGAGAAAGACCTACTAATAGACCAATCGTAGGAAATACACAAATCGAACCATTTAATAGCGCTTAATGCAATATAAAATCTGGGTGTTGAGTGTAACGTGTGTGACCCATGCTGTATGTAACTACACAATCCGTATAACTAAACTACACATTAGCCTGGTTCTCACGAGAGCCCTAGTGTCCGGATCGGGAGCTAACCGTTAGCGCTAACCGTTAGCACCTGTGTGAGAACGCCCGATCGGTTAGCGCTAACCGTTAGCGGTATCTGGATACCGCTAACGGTTAGCAAGCGCTATCGGTTAGCAAACGCTATCGGTTAGCAAGTGAGTGCGTTTCTATCATTAACCAATCACACGTACGCGTTTACAATTTCCAGTTTCTTATTGGCCAGTGATTCGATCATCATTATTCTTGGTATCCGTATCGGGATTTTCTCGTATGGACGCATGGCAGCTAACGTTTAGCAGGATCCGGATCCTGCTAACCGTTAGCTGCCGTGTGAGAACATAGCCATTATTTCACTCATGGGGTGATGTACATATGTTCGAACTATCATTGATTGTAAAAAAAAAAAAAATATTTTACTTGTTAATACTTTTAGAGATAAACCCATGCCTGAGTTCGCCATGTTTAAATAATGGAACGTGCAATAACATGATTGATTACTACGCATGTTCGTGCGCAAAAGGGTTCATGGGAAGACATTGTCAGACAGGTAAGAATGTTGATATTGTATTGTCACAATGTAAAATGTTGTTTGTTTGGCTTTCATTTGTTTAATGAAGAAACGAAACTGGCACTGTTGTCTGATGAATAACTAAACAGAGCCCAGAGTGAAACAAACACATTTAAAACTTGTAACGACCACGTAGGTTTTTGTGGAATGCAATAACTATAGAAAAAAGAATATCATAGTTAATGTATAGGCCTAATACATTAAAAATTGATTTCACTTAAGAAGGTATATACATACGTAGACCTATATTCAAATTAGGTTTGGCGTAGCACCGTAAACACATGTATGTATGCGAAGAAAACTTGCAATATTTGAGTCCACATTGATAGATAGTTATAGATAATTACTTGTTGATACCCCAGAATACGGTGTCTGTTTTGCAACCGGTGATCCCCATTACAAGACATTCGATGACCTTTGGCACGATTTTCAAGGGAGCTGTAAATACGTTTTAGCCAAAGATTGTTTCAGCGTTACACCAAAGTTTATCGTGGAAGCTGAAAATGAGAAGCGCAGTGCTAGTGATTTGGTAACCTACACCAAGGAAGTGACGATTACAATTAATGACACGGTATGGTATACCTTATAAAATTCTACAAATCTAGAATGTATGTGTAATTTATTTTTCTCAAAAATGTGTGTACGATTAACTTATTGTCAAATGACGATAACGATGACGATGACAACGACAAAAAAGCAATTGTTTAGAAAAGACGGATATATAGGCCTAGATCAGTTAATGAATAAATACTCGATGAACGAATGAATCGACTCGAGGCTGACACTTACGTCGAGGGTAGGGGTATTAAGATAAATACTGATCAGGTACCAAATAAACATGTAAATCACAAGCAAAATAGTATCAATAATTAATAACAAGTCGAAAATATTGTTTGCGTCATAAAAATCTACTAATATGATAAAATAATTTAGAAAAATATGTAAAGTAGCACTAGCTTTGTGCAAAATGTTTCAGATAATTCGGCTTGGTCAAGGCAGGACCGTAAGTGTCAATGACGTTACTATAGATCCGCCTGGAGAACGGAGAGGAATTCGAGTGTTTTTTAGCGGAATATACGTTGTAAGTACTTTTTTTATTACGCAATAGGCCTACTTGGGAATTGCCTTTTTTTATTGATTATATTATTACAGTTATGGTTGTTTTTATTTGTTTACTGACTTTAAATTTTTTTTTATATTAAAGAATAATAAACATATCAATCGGTAAAAATTATTTATATTCAATATTTTTGAATTATAATAGAACTATATAAAATAAATATTAAATAAATATACCAGTAAACCCGACGCAGTGGAGAAAAACAATAAAACTTAAAAACTGTCATCAAAAAATGTGCTTATTGAAATCCTTTCTCAACAAAGTAAAACAAGAAAAAGTCAAATTTAATATTGTTAAATATAAAAAGTATTTATAATGACTTACAAGTGCTATAATACGAACAAAAACCCTGATTCGTTGAAGAAGAATTAAAAGAAATATATGGGTTTGTTTGGCAAGAATTACGTTAAATTTGTCTGTACAGTTGTACAAATAGGCCAATGTGTAAATCTTTACATAATTTTTTTAATAACATACAAAAATATTATTATGTATGTGGAGGCCATCTAGCAATTTAAAGGTATATTTTTGAAAGGTGGTGCGTAGGCCTATTTATTTACTAAAACATAATCAAAAGTAGAAATGGAATTGAACCTAGTACTCAGTGACACTGTGGGTACAGTCATTTATTTAGCAATGCTAACATCTCCATTCTTTTACAGCAAGTGCAGTCTGACATTGGAATTTATGTTCGGTGGGATGGAGATAGTCGAGTCGATGTTCGTGTCGAGGCTGTGTTTAAGAACAAGACTTGTGGTTTGTGTGGAAATTACAACGGTGATGGAGCAAAGGAGGACGAGTTTCTTACCCCAGATGGAACATATGTAATATTATCATTTCTATTTGATAAATTACTTGTTAGAATTTAGCAGAATAAATAACCAAAAAAAAAACAAAAAAAAAACGGGATTTAAGAATAGGCCTAACATAGGCCTAGCTAAAATACAACATACAAAATACTCATAGTACGCCCTCATGGCCCCATAAGATAGAATAAAATTAGTTTTTCGTTGACAGCAGTTTCTATTATTCACTTATTCCAAATATGGTTCAGTTTGTATTACAATGTATATATGTTGTGGTTAATGTGAAACCACTTTTTTTCCCTCAAAAATCATCTCTATTCCTCAAGCCACATACTAAAAAAAATACGTTAGCATAAAGTAATGAATGTCCTAAATTATAAGCTTCACCAGCTTCATTGGACGACTCGTCCAGTGGCTTACAGAGTAGAAGTTGTTACAAACTGGCAAGGAAACTTGTGGACGACTCGTCCACTGCAACAGAGTCCACTGAGTAGAAGTTGTCAAAACTGGCAAGGAAACTTGTGGACGACTCGTCCTCCTTAAGCATAATTTAAGTTGGTGTGATTTAACTACTGTCTGCTAATTACCATTAACATTAGGCTATTTTATTCTAGTATATGCTCACCGATGTCATTTTTTCTGTTATCGAAGGTATCCAATGAAGCTGCCTTTGGTAATAGTTGGGTTTCAGATCCTAGTGACACTACCTGCATACCACAGAGTCAGGAGGTCGACCCATGTTCAAGTTCTTCCACTACAGTAGAAGTTGTTACAACTGGCAAGGAAACTTGTGGTATTCTTTCAGATCCAAACGGTAAAGTGCATATTCTGGTTCTATTCGTAATATGAATGAGTTCCAATCCTAATAACATTATTAATGATTTATGTAGGTACTGTACGTATTTGTAAATTTAAAGCAGTATATATTTTGTGGCATAATATATACACATTGTATACTTTTGTAGACCAGAAGCAAGTTATTGATTTCTATTCTTGTTACAAACTCAATATTCTAGGTCCATTTGCAGCATGCCATGCCAAAGTAGACCCTGATCCATTCTACCGTGCATGCGTGTATGATTTCTGCGCCGAGCCCAACATCGATCCAACGTTTTGTGATATGGCAGCCACCTACACCCAGTCATGCAAGAATCTCTATGCAGAAGTAGAGCAATGGAGAAATGCAACGTTTTGTCGTATGTATTCACAATTTTTATCAGTGGGTACATTCCCGGCCTGACATAAATCCTATTGATGACGTCATTAGTATACTTTTCAAGTGTACTAATTTGTTGAACGGTTTGAAGCGTCACCAAGGAACAACGGCCAAAGATATAATGATATTACAGAATAATAATATACTCATAACATGGATTCTTCCACCCAAAGTTAAACACGAGACAGCAATCCTAATTGTATTTTTTCTGCATCTCCTTAAAAAATTTTTAAACTAGTTTTAGGTGGAACCATTCTGAAAACTTTTCTCTTTGAAGACGTTTGGAGTGGGATCCCCGCCACATAGTTTACCCGTAACTGAAGCTCTTTAATTGGATTATGTTTTACAGCGTTGACATGTCCAAAGAACAGTAGCTACTCCGCCTGTGCGGATGCATGCCCAGCAACTTGCGTCAATTACCATGACGTAAATCGCACATGTGAGGAGGTTTGTGTTGAAGGATGCGAGTGCAAAAGCGGATTTGTTTTGGATGGTAACGTGTGCGTAGATTCTTCAACGTGCGGGTGTCAAATTGGCGGTTTCTATTACGCCGTGAGTTTATATTATTAGAATTATTCAATATTAAATAATTATAATCAACAAGTTAAAGGTTGTGAAAATGAATAAATAACATTCCAAAATATTACAGTCAAATATATTAATTCGTTCATAGTTTATTTTCTACTACAAAGTCACTATACACTGGATTGTTGTAGCACATCATATATATGACTAAGATACAAAATACATACCATGTGATACAATTTAATCAAACTCTCCAAATTTCTAGATTTTCCTATGTTATTTGAAATAGCTGAAACTTGTGTAAATTAATAAGATTTGTTTACTATGATGATTGTTATTTATGACAGATTGGAAGTTTTGTCTATACCGAAGGATGTAATGAACTGTGCGAATGTATGGAAGGTGGGTATACATATTGTGAAGACGTCACATGTGACGAGAACGCAGATTGTGGGATTCAGAACAACGCGTATGAGTGCATCTGTCGTAATGGATATCACACACTTATGCGGGGACTTAACTGCACAGGTGAATATGCAAATAATAGATGGCTACAAAACTAATGATGTAAATACCAAGGCCTATTTGTATTTCTACTTCTGACACTATACTGTAGATTTGGATGTTGCGCAAAAGCAACAGATGAGTATTAGGCTAATGGTTGAAAATAAGCGTACAATAAGTGAATTATAGTATTATAATTCTGACATAAATATCAAAATTCAAAGTAAGTATGTAAATGTCAGAAGAATCATAACAAACATATTATATTAACAAATACTTTTAAAATTTCTTTTAAGTAAAATAGTAGAACTACCTGTTTATAATTTGCTGTTTTTAGCAAATTATAATGAAGATCAATGTTAAACTGTTTTTTACGTAGAAATGTATTTAATCATTTTACAAAAATCTATCAACAGATATTAATGAATGCTTAAGCAGCCCATGCGCGAACGGAACATGTCTCAATCAAGAGAACAAATATACTTGTAGATGTGAAGATGGCTGGATAGGTGTCAACTGCCAAAATAGAGACGAATGCTTTAGCAATCCTTGTCAAAATGGAGCAAATTGCAAGGATGGAGATAACAAATTCGTTTGTAGTTGTCTTCCGGGATATGAAGGTGTCGTATGTGAAACTAGTAAGAAACCTGATTTTACTGAACCTGAAGTTATTTAAGACACCAGTTTGTGTTTGAAATATAACATTAATGTTACACGTGTGTAACATCTTTTTGTTGACAATAACATAAGTTTACATTAGATTGATTAGAAGGACAAACCCTGATTATTCACCAAAAGTTATTCATGTCGCAAACAATATACTTCAAAACCGTCAAATTAAACCATTGCTTTCTTAAGTAAATCATTTATCGACATGATAAAAGAAGTTTTTTGGTTGGTTTTTCAGATATAAACGAATGCTCGTCTTCACCTTGTGGAAGGGGTAACTGCACGGACCAGGTTAATGGCTATAAATGCACATGTGAATATGGTCATGAGGGTACAAATTGCGAAATAGGTATGTTATATAACGCGCACATACATATACATATATATTTATAAATATATATATACATATATATATTCTTAGACATAATGTATGTATAATATGTAATATATAATATATATAATAAATATATATTATATATATATATGTATATATATATATATTAGCTGTTGCTCATCATTTTTGTATCTCTACTGAGATCCAGCCATTGTTTCCCACAGCATTGTTGTTTTCCAGTATTTTGCCTTTTAATCTATATATATATATATATATATATATATATATATAAGATGTTATAGTCGTATCGACTCTTTTTCAGTTGTATGAAAATAAGTATTTTGTATTTACCGCTTACAATTTTTTTTTATCCAAGTTTCATGTTATTTTTTTCTTTCTTTCTTAAGACATTGATTTTTGTAAATCATCTCCATGTTTAAATGGTGGCACATGTTTTGACTTTGAAGAGTACTACCTGTGTCAGTGCCAGCCAGGTTTCGTCGGCACCCAATGTCAAACAGGTAACTATAATCAAAGATGGTAAATAGCAGAAGATAGAGCAGCTACGCGATAGATTGGAACGTCCGGTCAAAATGCTTTGTGAAGAACGGAGAGCAATTTTACAATATATCAATATATATCGCCGCTCAGATTCGTTCGTTTCCTGTAGTTTGTCTACTTAGTCAGGTGGTCACATTTTACCCCCCTCGTGGGATGACGGATGTTCCATTAACAGATACGTGGAAGAACTCATTCTTCTGCTATTTAAGTTCTTTTACTATGATGAATCATTCTGCTAAGCCCCTCCATTTGGATATCGATGGTAAGGTCCTACAACAAATAAGCGTATGTAAACATGTGTGTTCGTTGGACAAACCATGTGTTGTAGGACAAGCACGCATTCCTAGCCCTGTTCTGACTGGTCTGGTTCACTTTTATTGGTACTCCGTCAAGCTTGGTTTCTATACAATCGCTACTCAGTCGTTACGGCATTTTTACTGCAATTCTTGCACTGCGTAGCTGTCCCTGACGCTATCGGGAACACTCCCTCATTCAACTGATCAATCAGCATCGCCAATTAAGTCGGCGATAGCGTGTAGTGATTTTTATGGAAACCAAGCTTTAAGGTCCATATTCGGTTTGGCGCTGCAATTTCGGTTCAGGTTTTTAACTTATTGGTCGAGAGTTTGAACTACATGCTGACATTTTTTTTGCCGGACATGCTTAGATATTAGTTGCAAGTATTTCATGGCTTATTAATATTATGAAAATTATTATGATCGCGTCTCATCATTAATGATGGTAACACCCGTCCTAACCTACTATTTCTAAAAAAAAAAAATCATTAGTAGGCCTTCTAATGTAATTATCGCAATTTGTATTATAATGAATATAACCTTAAAATATGATTTTAGTCGATATTTGGCATTATATTGTTTACCGGTGTACTATGCCCAATTCACTATCAGAAAGCACCAAATTGAGGCATGTCATTGTCGTGACGAAATGGTTAAGTTGTCGCACAGGCCTGTATTGAGTAAATGAGCTGTAAAATATCGGAACCTCAAAATATTGCCTAAAAATCCAAATTTGTTTTTCACTATAGATCAACAGTTTAATGCCTTATTAATCATGTACCAAAGTATTAGTTCTGGAAGTAGTCAAGAAATTGTTTATTTAATGTTATTTTGATATTTCATTCTATTAAACAGTGTATGCACAAACAACTAAAAATCGTGTTTATCTTGATTCTAAGAGTACTGTACTTTCACTTTCCAATAACTTAGGCTTGAAATGTCCAATTTCAACGAATGACTCCTCATTTTAATGATCACATACTCAGGTATCTGAAAATACCAATAACTTGAATTTCCATTTTTGCTACAAATTAGCCATTTTGCCACAGCATGCCTCAATTAGTTGATGACTTTCGTTACTCTTGTTTTTGATATGAATTTACAGATACTTCGCCGTGTGCAAGTAACCCATGTATGAACGGCGGAATCTGCAATACCGTGGCACAGAATATATACTTTTGTGAATGTCCTGATGGGTTTTACGGTGACAGATGTGAACAAGGTAAAGAGTAACCATTGTGTGACGACGCTACGCGTGCTATCCTCTACTTATACTAGGCATACTACTGCTGCTGCTGCTACTACAGCTGCTGCTGCGACCACCACCACCACCACATTTTATTATGGCTATAGCACCTCTGATGGTCGGAAATGGCACTTTCGGTCTTAAATGTGATATGAATGTAATTTAATGGTTTTCTACAAATTTAGGGGCTCGGGTCGAATGAGCCCCTTGAACCCGAGCTTGCTACTGCTACTAATACTGCTGCTGACGATGTATTCGTTATCTTTCTATTTTCATTAAAGATTTTAACGAATGCTACAGCGACCCTTGTCAGAATGGAGCGCGGTGTAACGACGGAACCAATAGCTACACGTGTACTTGTGAAATCGGATTCATTGGAACCACCTGTTCAGAAAGTAAGTAGTTTTTATAACATTCATGTTTAAAATATCATAACAACGAGCATCTTTTCGTTGTATTTTTTAAGAATTCAACACACAGTACACTCCCTATATTTTGTTTTCGTTTTATAATTATTTTGCACCTTGATGCTAATATACCTAATGTTTTATTTTTACTTGTTCTTGTTTATTTTAATATTGTATTATAATGTTTATTCTAAGCACCACTAGCTAGCCATTAACAAGTTTTCTTTTATTTTTATTATTTGAGGTGACGCACCAGACTTAGAACTGATTCAGGTCTGGAGTACATCGTTTACAATTGGTTGGTCAGTGGAGATTGATGTTGATTGGTTCAAAGTTCAATACCGTAACCATACTTCTGAAAGAAGTAATGGTTCTGATTGGATCGATGAGCCGTATACCAGTAGACAACAATTTCTGTATGTGCTTTTGAATTTGAGAGAAAGTACTATGTATGACGTCAGAGTGCAAATGCAGAGAACTGAGACCGAGACTATAGGGATAAGTGACGTCATGGTTGTGCAGACATGCAGCACTGGATTTGGATCCCTGAATTGTAGCATGGGTAAGTACTTTCTATATCTGAGGCCGTGCGTCCTTTGGGTGACAATTGCGTTTCCCAAGTTTGCGACTTCTGGGAATGAGATTTGTCTGATAATTTTGTAGGTTATTGTAATTCCTACTATGCTGAATGAATGATGTATTCTGTGACAACAGGCGGCTTCTTTTTGAAATGGGCGTCTTCTCGTGATTAAGCTCGTTTGGCTTATAATATTCAAGGTTTTACTTTATGTCTCCGATGTTTTGGAGCAGTTGACACCGTGGTTTGGGCTCTCACTCTTGTGCAAGAGGGGGGGTTCGAAGCTTAGCTGTAAATTTAGACACTTACGCTGTCCCAAACACCCACAGAATAATTGTGTACACTAAAACGTTATGGCATTGAAAGTATTAGTCTGTGGACATTAAATATGAGAAGAGGAATACTTCCCCTAATCCAATAATCAAAAGTAATAACAAAAACATTGTCAGGCCCATCTCTTGCAAAAAGGTATAGTATACATTTCTATATTATGATAATCTATAATAATACTAGCGTAAGGGTGGGGAATTTGGACAGAATCCAATTGGAGAACACCAACAATAAATCGATTCTACAGACCTGTCGCTGGTAGAGAAATTTAAATAGCGCCATCTATTGCCTTCCTTGGCCTTCCCGCAATGTTATGATACAGCTATTCCAGTGATTAACACATTTTCCCCGTGAATTTGGAGGAAATGTACACGGGTATGTTTATTTGTTACCGCATATTTGGTCTGATGTAGAAACTGAATTTCTAAAGAACAGTATTTTTTAGGGAAATACTATGATTATGGTAAATTATTGTTGTATATTTTACATAACCATTGTATGAAAGACTGTACAATGGCTGGTTTGATGAGCTGACATGCTTGTATGGCGGCTACGCTGTGTTTTGTAGTGGCTGTTGACAAATTGGTAGTGTGGGTAATTGTGGACTGGCTAGAGGGCGGTGTTGTTAATAGGCAGCCTGTATACGATTAATTGCATTGTTTTTAATTTGTTCATTTTCATCATAATAATTAAGTAAGTCAATATTATTAGGCCTACATGCGTAGATAAATGTTAATTTGCAATAGTTTATTTGCACATTATTAGTACAGAACATGTGGGGTCATCATGACTAAAATAAATTTTGTTGATACTAACTACTAGCACTTTCTATTTTTTATATATCTATAGTGCTTTAAAAATTGTTTTATTCCATTCAAATGTTTAATTTCAATTTGTTCATTATGACCTAACATAATATCTTTCTTTCTGTTTAGATGAAAGAAATGGAATCTATGACCTAGTTATATCTTTATCGACGCCAACATCATTATCTGTGAGGTGGTCAACTGAAGTCAGTTCTACATTTACGCAGATTCTGTATCGGGAATACGGGAAGGAAACCTGGAATGTTGGAAGGGAGTTAGATGACAGTGGTCAACAATTCAGCGTTATTTCATCTCTTTTTGGTCACCGTTACTATGAAGTCATTATTAATGTTACCGTAGGCAGTACTACGTTTCGAAGTCTTATTTCACGTTTCCATACATGTGAACCTGACCGGCAAGGACCTAACTGCGAAATACGTATGTAGCC